TTCTTGTTTCTTTTCTTTTTTCCTCCAACAACTGCTGTATTTTCTCTTCTTGTTTCTTTTCTTTTTCCTTTAACCACTGCTGTATTTTCTCTTCTTGTTTCTTGTCTTTTTCCTCCAAGAACTGCTGTAATTTCTCTTCTTGTTTCTCTTCTCGTTCTTCTTGTTTTTTTTCCTTTTCCTCCAAGAACTGCAGTAATTTCTCTTCTTGTTTCTTTTCTTTTTCCTCCAAGAACTGCTGTAATTTCTCTTCTTGTTTCTCTTCTCGTTCTTCTTGTTTCTTTTGATGTTCTTGAATTGCTGCCATCAAATCTGTTAAGCTGTAGTTTGATTTGCCGCTTCTCGTTTCCATTTTTTTTGTCCCACTCTCTGACACCAATTTGTTACGCCTCCAGTTGTTAGTTGATTTTCCGTAACTTCGTTCCGACGAAACTTTAGCGACACAAGTCCTTTCTTAATAAAACTGGTTTATTCTTTCCGAATACAACTTTACGATACACTTAATTTCAACAGTCGTGCTATAACAAACGCTATAACAACGAGCGTCTCACGTGGTCAACTTGAACAATACTCTCTGACTGCAGTTCAATTACTCATTACCCTGTTGTCCCGTCACGTTGTGAACGTCTTATATATACAAGACTAACACATATCTAGTAAATGCTAGGGCATTCTTGAAGGAACAGGATATTTCTAGAAAAAGGTGGCGTGATACTAGTCACGTGACCTCGCTGACGCAACAATATTGACACTTACTTTTCTGGTGAATGGGTCATAATCAAATACTGGATATATGTCAGATTCATAGACTAACTCGTCTAATTCGTTTAGTATTCTAATTAAACCTTTAGGCTAACATAAATAATTTTATTGTGACCATCAGCAGCATGTAATAAATTGATCCAACAGTATTTTTGAATTGTATACACTGTCATAATTTGTTGTAGGCCTTTGTTACAAATGATGTTCAAACCTCTCTAACAATTTAGGAAGAAAGCAAAAATAAAATAATATAATGTGAAGAACTGAATAGTAGCCAATGACACTTTTTCTTCACTTCACATATCCAGTGTATAGGTTTTCTTCATAGTGAATACAAAGCACGTTCACACCAACAGTATTTTTGACTTGCATACACTGTAATAATTTGTTGTACTTGTAGGCCTGTGTTACAATGGCGTTCAAACGTCTCGAAATATTTAGCAGGAAAGCAAAAATATAATCAACTTAATTATACACAGTAACCAGGATAACAGGCACAATGACTGATTGACTATACTATATTTTTGAAAAAATCACCACAATCTTCACCACTATCTCATATTCACCAGCTAGCTTCGAATGTACGAGCAAAACTGATGTTAAATTAGAATTTTCTAGATTTAACTTAATGTCATCATTAAAATCTGCAGCTACCTCTAGCTAAAAAATATTAATTACAGCATTAGAAATATAGTTTCAAACACTGTCTCTTCCTGAATTGTGAGATCCCCTGAACAATTCTAATACAAGAAAATAAAACACTATACGAAATTGTCCATTTACAAAGTTATTTTTTGGAAGTTTTCTTTTCCAAGATCCATGGATTACAGATGAACTACTATCTTGTCTCTTGTTGTTACTGGCTGTCATGTTACTGGGGACTTCTTTGTGGGTAGATGGTATGGGTAATCCACTGAGGACTCCAGCCCATGATGATCCTCTGGAAGTAGTCTCAACAAGAGTTCTGTGTTTCTCAACAGGTTGAATTTCCGCTGACGTGTTCATCTTCATAATTACTCAGTTGGTCTTTCTCTCACCAATGTACTTCCAAAAATGATCACAATTGATTACTTTGGCTTGAATCAGCAATCCTTCTGGATTCTGTAAATCACATCATTTGTTCTTTCCAGTACAGCAAATGGCTCTTCTAGCACCTGCTTAACTTGAGAATTTGTCCTTTCTTGTGGTGGGAAATGTACAGCCAAACTTTTTCACCTTGATGATGTCTTATTAAAATTAATATCATAGGGATTTTGCTTCATCACTAGCTGATTTAAGTCTTTCTCAGATAAATGTATTTATATTATATCTACATATCCTTTTAAAGACTCTTCTGAGTGACTAATCTCTGGACGAGAGTACAGAAAGTCCAATGACACTTTCAGTTCTCTCAAGGGCATCAGAGATTATGGTGTGTTACTGGTAGCTTCATGTATTGTTGTATATAACACATCAATAACAGTGGAGGATATTTATCCTACATTTTCTAATATTTATCCAAATACACTCATTGATTTAAGAGTATGAAGTTATTTTGGCTTTTTTAATATCAAGGAGCTGACACATTTCTGCATACAAGTCTAATTCAAAATTCAATCCCTAATCCAAGTGAAGTTCCACTTGTACACCAACTCTTGAAACAAATTCATTTATAAGTGGCTCTGCTTCCCATTTAAGAACAGTATGTGCTTCTGGCCACTTGACAAAATAGTCATTACAACCATTGTGTTTTGATTTCAACTGTTACGCTGTAGAACACATTAATAACAACTCTCTTTAGTGCTACAACACAATACTGCTGAAGCTGCCCATGATGTTTCTTTTGTGGGTCTTTCCATATTTTACTCTAATTCTCGACAAATATCTTCCACCTAACCCAGTACAAGCATTTTTTTGCACACTCTAATGTATTCTTAACACCTAAATGGAAGGTTGTGGAGATTACAGAGTGCTTTAGAACTGCAGAAGTGCTTAAGACTGCAGAAGTACCACCTGTATCAGTTACCTACAGATCACTAGCACCCAATTCAATAGAAGAATTCTCTCACTCTCTCTATTTCTCCAGTGTCTTCTTAAAACCTAAATATCCAACCACTGGAATGTTGTAGAGATAGTGCAGTGCTTCAGAATGTAGGTATTTAGTATATCACTGTTAAATTAGGAATAGTTGGCACATATAGCCCTCAATTAGCTTTGTGCAAAATGAAAAACAAAACAAACCAATCAAATACTTCACTCAATGACTGTTACTATACCAACTGAAATTTGACTCAATACTTCACTGATTCTCGTATTTATAATGTAGCCTTGTATCTAGATACTTCTTATAGTCTCTTGGTCGCCAATATTCCCGAATATTTTAGGTATTCTAGTGCTATTTTTATAAACTTACTTGATCTCAAAATCAAACACGCTCTAGCTAACATCTAAATTAAAAGATTGAAAATGTAGCTTATGATGATATGTTTTACCTGCTTTAGTTATAGAGGATTCTTTTAATTTCGTCTATTTAATTTGTGTGCAGTTTGAGTATAAATAAGTGGTCCAGAAAATTGCTCTGTTCTAGTTGCTTTGTTTTCAGTTTTTTGTCGTAGATAATGTCTATTCTGCCCAAGAGGATATTGCAGTAACATATAAAATCCAGATTCAAGGGATTGTAACTGTATCATCCTTTGCTGGACGAGTTGACATTGTTTGAATGCTACAGCTACCCAATGCTGTACAAGAATAAATGTGACACTATTGACTGGACCAAGAAACTGAGCTTACCTGTTGAGTTCATGCATGCTTTCTTAGTTCACTTTCCACCTAGAAATTGACAGTAAAGTTCTGTTACGACAGCGGAAGTCACGTGACGTTGGTAACATGTAATGATTATCTAGAAGGTTCGCGAAAAACGCTAGTGCGTGCTATGCATGCGTTTGTGTTACGACAGCGGAAGTCAAGTGATGCTGGTAGCACGTGATGAGTGTGTAGAAGATTCTAGAAGAGACTACGCGAGCGCTATTATCGTATATAAGTGCGCTAGACGAAACAGAGAGGGAGAGTGGGGAACCAAGGACAGCAGTTACGGTCAGTGGGAACTGAGGATAGCAGATACAGAGATCGGAACTATAGTTGCTGACAGGCAGAGATAGAGACAGACAATTGAGTCAAGCGTGGTAGTAAAGTGAGTGAATTATAGCGTGTGTTTAAGTTAAAGTAACTGTGGAAATTAAGTGTATTGCAAAGTTGTATTGAGGAAGAATAAACTAGTTTTATTTAAGAAAGGACTTGTATCGCTGAAGTTCTCCAGAAAGAACTTTTACGGGTAATTAACAAACGACTAGAGACGTAACAGTACTATAAAGTAATGTCATATCCATGTGTCATTTTCTGCCTCAGGTCATACCAGGGCCATACAGTATATAATATGAGTGATGTGTTCGCACAGGGCACCAACTCAAAAGAGATGTGTCAATTTCCTGATTAACTAACAAAGAAAATTAACAGGTTCAAATGGGGCAGAGGGCTGAATTTATGTCAGATAGGGCACCTCCAAACAACGGGTATGGCACTGAGTCATACACTCCTATTAGCATGTCTTCCAACTGCAACTTGTACCAAAATACAAATGTTGAGAAACATTCAGTGAACAGTTGTGTATTTCTGACGTGTAGGCTTTGTCTAAGCTCGAGTACAAGCGTATGACGTTCTTAGTACTACTAGCATGCTGTGATATTACTAACTATATGCAGAACACTACATCAAAATTTCGTAAACATTACTTGAAAATACTTGGATAAAGATGTTTCTAGTTATGAAAGGGTGAAATTAGCAGTTGTTTTAACTTGATAACCTTTTTAAAAACTACTTCAAAACTACTTTTCTAATGCTATTTTATAATAATAACAGTCATGCTTGAATATCTCTGTAAATTACCAAGTGAAATATAAATTCTGAAAGATATTTTTATAGAGAAAACCACAACAAGAAAAGAAGAGTGTTGGATACACAAGAATGTTCAGTTTAAGTGTTATTATTCAGTTAATTTACTGATTTAATATTTAATGATCATTTAGTTTTCATACCAAGAGTGTTAAACATTAATTATTTCAAAAGGAATAGTTCTAACAAGTTCCTTACATAATAGTGTAAGAGTGGTAGGTTATATATTGTTACGTCAGCGAGGTCACGTGACTAGTGTGACGCCACCTATTTTCCAGAAGTATCTTGTTCCTTCATAAATGCCCTAACATTTACGTGACGCAATAATGTGTGTGTAGGTAGTGAGTAATTGAACTGCAGTCAGGAAGTATTGTTGAAGTTAAGGTTCGTTGTTAAAACGTTTGTGAAAGAGCGACTGTTGAAAATAAGTGTATTGGTAAAGTTATATTCAGAAAGAATAAACCAGTTTTATTAAGTAAGGGCTTGTGTTGCTAAAGTTTCGTTGGAACGAAGTTACGGAAAATCAATTAACGAACGGAGACGTAACAAATTGGTGTCAGAAGTAGGATTAAAAAAATGGAAACGAGA